GCCATCCCTGGGCCTGTGGGCCTGGGCTATGTAAGACACCTAGCTAACTGTGATCCTGGCTGAAGCCAGTAAGTGGCACTCTTCCATGGTCTCTGCTTCTAGCTCCTGCCTTGAGTTCCTTCCGTGGTTTCTCTGGAGAACAGAATATAACCTGAGATGAAGTGAGCCCTTCTCCGCCGCTCTGTCGGTTTGGTCATGGTGTTTATCACAGCAGCAGAGAAACTAGGGAGTGTCCTCAGAAAGTCTGGCATCTGTCCCTCTGGCATCTAGCTTTGTTCTATGATCTCCCTAGTCACACTTGTTCCTGCCATCTGCCATGAGGTTCTTAGGATAGCGGGTGCCAGGACCTTGAACCTCCAAGCTAGGAGCATAAATAAACCTCTTTTGTTTATAAAGCACTCAGCCTTAGAGAGATTGTTACAGTAACTAATACAGACCTCTCTATTAGCTTCAAGAACAAAGGGAAGGCTATGGAGCATATAAAGTGGGTAGCAAGTCTACCCATGTTAGGCTAAGTACGTGTGGCCGGTATTACCAGAGTGTGGGAGCTTGGTGGGTGGAGATCTGTAACCAGGGGGTGTTGGGGGCTTAGGTCGGGGTTGGGGTGAAGATATCAGAGGAAGTGACTTCCATCAGTTAGGCCCTTCAGATGTAATCACTTCTCCTGTGTATTTGCATGTGTGCACATGTGTACTCATCAAGCCTGAGTGTCTTCCTCAGTCACAGTCCACCTTGTGTTTTGAGACAGATTACTCAGCCAGTGAGCACCAGGGATTCTCCTGTCTGTACCTCCCAGTGTGGGGGTCACACTCAAGCCACCACACCAGTGTTGTTTGTTTTTTACGTGGGTTCTGGGGATCAAACTCAGGTTGACATGTTCGCACATGTTTGCTCATGTTTGCCACCAGAGCCAGTGGGTCTCATCTTCCTTGGCCGTGACCCCTGAACCACGTGGCCAGGCTGAGGCGGTGAGGGTGTTCGGCACGGCGCTGCCTGAGTTGGCTTTCTTGGATCCGCCCCTCCTTGCCAGCCTCCTCTTCACCCGTGTGGTGGCACAGGTGGCTCAGCAGAGACTTCGTGTCCTAGAGAAGAAGGTTCAGTTCAGGAGCGTCCTGTCATTCAGCAGGGGGTGGCTGTTGGTTCTGGAAACCGTGAGCCCTACAGTGACTTAGTTTGAATCATTTTAGAAACGGCAAAGCAGCTGTCGAAAGAAATGTCTTCCAGTAACTGCTGGATGAAGGGTGAGCCCAAGTTCACCCAGAAAGCACCTCTTCTGTGCAGACTTCCTGCGGGACTCCCTCCCTTAGTGGTCTTGTCTGCAGATTTATAGGCAGTCGAGGTGGTTTGCTTCTTCTGCCAGCTTCCGGCTTGGGAACGTGTGTTGTGATCACACTAACGAAAGGCTTGGGAAGCTGCACACTTCAGGTGGTGGACCCTGTGGTGTTCAGTAAAGGACCTCTGCCACTCTTCCTCCAGAAGAGTCTCACAGGCATCATTATGTTCCTCCACTTTCAGAGTCTTAGTGATTGACAGACAGGTGAGCAGCAAGGCATTCTGGGAAATGTAGTTTTTCACCTTCTAACCTAAGGCATGGAGTTGTGCTACAGAGGGCTGAAGTGGTATTGGAACCATGTGCTGGTAAAATATCCATCAACAAAAATCACATAGTCATCTGCCATGACTTTTTTCAAAAACAATTTACATGTGTGCATGTGTATGTGTACACACACATTCTATGCACAGAGGCCAGAGAATAGCTCACGGGAGTTGATTCTCTCCTTGTGTCATACGGTCCCTGGGGATTCGTTCAGGTCACCAGGCTGGCCAAGCATCTTTACTCACTGAGCCATCTCACCCGCCCTGTTGTCTTTTTGAGACAGGGGCTCCTGTAGCCCAGACTTGCCTGGAGCTCAGCATGTCGCTGGGGATGACCTTTGAACTCTTGGATCTTAACTTTCACTTCTCAAGTGCTACCATGGCATTCAGCATGATGCCCAGTTCTGAAAATATTTCTTTACAAGAAACAAAGAAAAAAAATCCCAGCACTTGGGAGCTCTCATAGGTTAATGACATAGAACCCCTAAACTTCGGGCAAACAGCCTGACCTCATCACTAACGCCCCCTTGCCGCACCTTGTGTTGTCTAGGTTTCTCCCTGAGGCTGAAATTTGGAAAAGTTGTGATTTATCAGAGAGGCTAGGGCCATGTTTTTTTTTCATACTTAATTTTTTATTTTAGTTTTTGAGAATTTCATATAATGAGCACTATATTTACTATATTTATTGTTTACGTCTTCCACCCCTCCTTTTCTCCTTCCCTCTGACTCCTTTCATGCCCCGCCACTTCCTCTCAACTTCATGACCTCTTCTTCAATAGTGTGCATGCCTGTGTGTGTGTGTGTGTGTGTGTGTGTGTGTGTGTGTGTGTGTGTGTGAATATAACACTGAGTCCCTCTAGTGTTGCTTGTATTTATACGTGTTTAGGGCTGACCACTTGGGATGAGCTGACTTATCCCTGGAAGACAATTCTACCTCCCTTAGCAGCCATTACTTGCCTGGAGCTCTCTCTTCACGTGTGGGTGGAGCCTTGGGGGATGTCCCCTATCCACAGTGGGATGTCAACTGGTGCAGCTCCCTGTCATATGTAGAAGATACTGTCTTATAGCATGTCCTGGCCATTTGGCTCCTGCCCTGGGAGTGCTGGGATTACCAATGCTTATCACCATGTATGGCTTTTCACATGGCCCGGGGGATCAACTCAGGTCATCATGCTTGTGCAGAGAGCACTTTTATCCTCCACAGTCTTACTGGCCGTGAGTATGGTTTTTAGTAAATAGAACGAAGTGAAGCATGATAGTTAACACAGACAGGAAGTGCACGGGACTCACAGTTATGAGCATGCCTATCGGTCACTTTCATTGTTGCTCTAAATATCTAAGAAAGGCTGCCTAGGGAAGGAAGATTATTTGTACATTTGAGGTCACAGTTCCAGTTCGTCATGGCAGGGAGGGTATGGTGACAGGAATGTGAGGTGGCAGGTCACATTATATCTGTAGTAGGAAGAAGGGAGATGAATGCTGGTGCCCAGCTCACTTTCTCCTCATTCTCCCTCTTTAGTTCAGCTGAGAGCCCAATCAAGTGGAACAGTCCCGTTCATTTTCAGGGTGGTTCTTTCCTTGGCTCAGTCTTTCTGGAGAAGCCTCACAGGCAGAGGTAGAGGAGTGTCTCCCAGGTGATTCCAGTTCCAGTCAAGTTGACAATGAGGATTGGCCATCCCTGCAGATGACGTATCTGAATACTGTGTGCTAGCACGAGTCTAAACTTTTGCCATGTGTGTGTGTGTGTGTGTGTGTGTGGGGGGGGGGTCTTATTTGGGAACTCAGTCCTGGGAAGCAAATTGTCACAGTTAGATTTCTGCTGCTGTGATAAAATACTAACCCAAAGCAACTTGGGGAGGAAAGGGTTTATTTCAGCTTATGCTGTACCACTGAGAGAAGTCAGGACAGGAATCTGGGGGCAGGAGCTGATGCAGAGGTGCTGCTTGCTGGCTTGCTCCTCATGGCTTGCTTGCAGCCTGATCTTATGGACATTTTCTCAACTGAGGTTCTCTCCTCTCCAGTGACTTTAGCTTTGTCAAGATGACAAAACCCTGACCAGGACACAAATGTTTTGTTTTAATAAAAGCATGAAATTGCCTCCTACATTTCAGGTGTGATTAAATCCCACCCCTCCTTTTCCATTCAAGTGAGGTACTGAATCCTCCTGTAGAGATAAGGAGGATGTTCACCCTTAGCAGGTGTGGGAAGGGCCCCCCTCTCCTACCCACATAAGCTGAGTAAGTTTTGACCATCATGTGGTGCTGAGATGCTCACTGGCCATGCTGTATGTTGTGGGCAGCCAATCTCTCTGTGCTCAGCTTCATGGTTGTGGCCATTGATGGAGCTCCTCAGGTTGAATTTCCTCATGTCCTCTCACCTGCTCCTGTGGTTGCCTCACAGACATGGAGCCAGGTACCAGAGTATTGTGCTTACAGGAGCTGCTCCAGGGGAAGAGGCGGACATATACCGTAGTTATTCTTTTATTGCAAATTGATATGAAATTAGTTCATTTCTTTATCCAGTTACCATGCTGACTGTAAGTAAAGAATTAGTACACCTACCCTATGCCAATGTACTAAGTGTCTAATTTACATATTTCTTATTAGTGAGAAAGTGTCTTGGCATCAGTAGTGGTATAAATGAAAATGGCCCCCATAAGCTCGTTCGTATCTTTGAATACTTGGTCTCCAGTTGGTGGAACTGTTTGGGAAGGATTAAGAGGCATGGTCTTGTTGGAGGGAAATGTGTCATTGGGGGCAGGCTTTGAAGTTTCAAGAGCCTATGCCGTTCCCTGTTAGCTCTTTCTCCCCCTGTGCTATGGATCAAGATGTGAGCTCTCAGGCACTACTCCAGCACCATGCCTATCTGCCTGCTGCTGTTCTCTGTTACTTCATGGTCATGGACACTAACCCTCTGAAACTGTAAGCCACAAATAAACTCTCTCATCTATAAGTTTCCTCAATCATGGTGTTTTATCACAGCAACAGAAAGGTAACTACCACAGCATTGGAGCTCATTCTTTATTGTCATGTGACTTTGGATACATGAGTTAAGATCCATTAGTCAGTTTTATCTTTTACAAAATGGGCTAACAAAACAGAGTTCCATCCTGGAGGACCAGTGTCCATGAACACTCTGAGTTAGTACACCTGGAGAATTGTGGGGAGACCAGGCTGGAGTTCAAGGTAGGTGGCAAGGTTGGCGTTCTAAGTGGATAAATGCCATCTGACAGAATCTGGACTCCCAATGGACTTCTCTCCAAGTCACACGCATATTACCATTCCTCTGGAAATGCCTTCTCTCAAGTCACACACATGTTACAGTCCCTCTGGAAATGCCTTGTCTCCAGGTCATACACATGTACGGTCCCTCCAGTAATGCCACCTCTTGTTCTTCCCTCCTAGGACCCGACTGACTTTGAGTGGAACTTCTGGCTGGAATGGGGGAAACGGAGCCTGGTGTGGCTCTTCCTTGGCCATTTGGCTGTGTCTCAGTTGGCCACACTACTTGCAAAGAAGGTATGAGTCCTATTTGGGTTTGGTGAAGAAGCCTGAGCTACGAATCAGCAGATGGGGAAGCCAAGTGACTCTTCAGTTGAAGGTGTCTTCCCATCTCTCCCTGCGTTGACTTCCTCCAGATTATTTCCTAAAAAGATCCCATACAAAGGTTTCAGAGTGAACTGACTCAGCTGGCATTCGCTAAGATCATCCCTGGTGGAATGGTCTAGTGAAGACTTGCTTTCTTGGGAGAATATGTGTGGCCTCACAGGTCAGAAGGGAGTGGAAGATACTATTGATAAGAAGTGGAGACAAATGGGCCTGGAGAGATAGCTCAGCAGTTAAGAGCACTGGCTGCTTTTCCAGAGGATGTGGGTTCTGTTCCCATACCCACAGGGTGGTTCACAACTGTAGTGGCCAGTTTTATGTCAACTTGACACAAACTAGAGTCATCTGAGAGGAGGGAGCCTCAATTGAGAAAATGCCTCATAAGATCCAGCTGTAAGGTATTTTCTTAATTAGTGATTGACGGGGAAGGCCCAGCCATTGTGGGTGATGCCATCCTTGGGCAGGTGGTCCTGGGTTCTCTAAGAAAGCAGGAGGAGCAAGCCAGTAAGCAGCAGCCTCTATGGCCTCTCCATCAACTCCTGCCTCCAGGTTCCTGCCCTGTTTGAGTTCCTGTCCTGACTTCCTTCAGTGGTGAACAGTGATATGGAAGTGTAAGCCAAATAAAGCCTTCCTCCCCAAGTTGCCTTTTCATGGTGTTTCATCACAGCAATAGAAACCTTGACTAAGACAATGATGGTCTGTAACTCCAGTTCCAGGGGATCCATTGCCTTTATCTGGCTTCACATGTGGTACACATATAAACACATAGGCCAAAATCCTTACATGTAGAATAACAATAAATCTTGTAAAAAAGTAGCAACAGAGCTGGGGCGGGGTGGGGGAGTGGGTGCTGTCAGTGACATAATTGCTGTGTAAGCACAATGATCTGAGTTTGACCCCCAGAACCCACATAAAGAGTGTCTGGGCATGGAGGTGCTTGAAACACCAGCACTGAGGGGCTGGAGTCAGGCAGATCCCAGGAATTTAGGCAGCCAGCCAGGCTGACATCGCAAGCTCCAGGCCAATGAGAGACCCTGTCTTAAAAACCAAGGTGATGGCTCCTGAGGGAAGATTGATCTCTGACCTGCGTGTGCACTCACACACACACACACACACACACACACACACACACACACACACACACACACGAGATGACTTTAGTATTGAGCAGTGTAGTGTCATTTTATGCTGGATCCTGTGGTGGTTTGTTCCTGAGTTAGCCTATGATAGGTCTTCAAAGCAGATATTTGGAAAGAGATTTCACAAGAGGCTGGATCGTGGCAGCTTTGCAGGGCTAGCTAGCTAGCAGGGAGCCCAGGAGACTTCCAGGAGGGCTCACCCTGTCACTTGGGACTGCCTGGCTTTTGCCCAGGACTTGCTGATAGAGGCTTTCTGTTACCAGTCCCTAATGTGAAGAATGAGCCTGTGTTTGGAAATCTGCAAGAGAGACCCAGACCCAACCAGACTGGCCTGGACCAACCCAAGAGGCAAGCTCCGTTCCTTGAGAGACTCAAGGAGGTGATGGAACTGAGGGCCAAAAGGCCTTCTAGCACTGAGCTGAGGAACAGGCTGGTCCCTGGTTGGTTAGAGGTGTGTGCTGAACATCTTTTCTGGAAAGTTGGTGCTTTCTGACTCCGTCTCAAAGATGGAAGCCTGGGCAGCGTGCGCTCTCTTTAGTGATACTGACGACTTCTGTACCTCAGTGGTCCCTTGTCTTCTGCAGTGGCAAAGCTGAGGTGTTAGATTCTGTCAGACTTGGATATGTTCAAGTTTCATAGAACTTTAGAATGGATCAAATGGTAAATAATATACTGGGGTTCTGTTGTTCCCAAGGTGGTGGTAAGCACATCTGCCTCAGCTTTCACTAGTTAGTGTTTATTTATTATTAATAAATTATTATAAATTCTTCAAATTTATGTTTACTTTTTCAATTTTTGATATTTTTAGAAGTTTCTCATTAATTTTTGTTTTGCTTTTCTTTTTTTGGGGGGGCTGGAGAGATGGCTCATCAGTGAAGAGCACTGGCTGCTCTTCCAGAGGATCTGGGTTCAATTCCCAGCAACCACATAGCGGCTCACAACTGTCTGTAACTCCAGTCTCAGGGGATCCGATGCACTCTTCTGGCCTCCTCCAGGTACAAATGTCGTGCACAGTCATAACATGCAGACGCAACACTCATACATGTAAAATAAATAAATTAATTTATATTTTATGTATATGCGTTTTGCCTGCATGTGTGTATGTGCACCAAGTGTGTGCCTGGTGCAGGTGGATCCAGAAGAGGGCATGGTATCCCCTGCAGCTGTAGTTACAGGTGGTTGTGAGCTGCACTGTGGGTGCTGGGAACTGAACCTGGGTCCTCTGCAAGAGCAGCCCATGCTCTTCACCACTGAGCCATCTTTCCATCTCCACAGTTTAACATTCTATTTCTAACATAAAGCTTCTCTACCCATAAGTAAATGACTTACTATCCCTAAACTTGGGGGAAAGTCAAACCTCATTAATAACTTAACAAATTCATCTTTGTTTTTGTTTTGTTTTGTTTGAGATAGGATTTCTCCATGTAGTCCTGGCTGTCCTGGAAATCATTCTGCAGACCAGGCTGATCTCGAACTCACAGAAATCTGCCTGCCTCTGCCTCCCAAGTGCTGGGATGAAAGGCGTGTGCTACCACCACCAGGGTTAGCAAACACATCTTAAAAACAGCCGAAAGTTATCAATTCATACTTTTCAATTTGGCAAAAATAAACAAGAATTCCCTGAAGAGACCAAGCATTGACTGCCCAAGCTCCTCTGCAAGGGAGGACATGGGTCCTCTGCAGTGTATCATGGTAAACCACCAACAGATAGCAGTGTGAATCCTGACATGCTCTCTGGAGATGGAGAGCTAGATGCAACCCGGTGTCCATCATGGTGACACAGATGAGCTGTAGAGAACCATTTCATGAAAGAGAGCAGATTATACTGCTGTGATCAGCATTGGTGCATCACCTGTGGCTAGCTGCTGTGATCAGCATTGGTGCATCTGTGGCTAGCTGCTGTGATCAGCATTGGTGCATCACCTGTGGCTAGCTGCTGTGATCAGCATTGGTGCATCTGTGGCTAGCTGCTGTGATCAGCATTGGTGCATCACCTGTGGCTAGCTGCTGTGATCAGCATTGGTGCATCACCTGTGGCTAGCTGCTGTGATCAGCATTGGTGCATCACCAGTGGCTAGCTGCTGTGATCAGCATTGGTGCATCTGTGGCTCGTGATGGTGAACTAGTGAGCCAAGTTGTAGAGAAATACATCAGCTATGATTCCATGCATAGGAGACTCGGAAGTGTGGGCACTAACAGGTGCGTTCTGGGTGCAGTGTGAAATGAGACAGCTGCTGTGGTCTGGATGTAGCTGACTGTGAACTCAAGGGTCCATGTGTCGGGCCGTTAGTCCTCAGTGTGGGACTCAGTTTACTTGAAGCTCTTACTTTGGGCTTCTCTTCTGAGGCAGTGTTGCTGTGGACCTTTGGGGTCCACTGGACGATTGCTTTCAGGAACCCTTAAATATGTCAAAATTCACAGATGCCTGAGTGTCTGATGTAAATTTAAAAAATTATCTCTCAGCCGGGCGGTGGTGGCGCACGCCTTTAATCCCAGCACTCGGGAGGCAGAGCCAGGCGGATCTCTGTGAGTTCGAGGCCAGCCTGGGCTACCAAGTGAGTCCCAGGAAAGGCGCAAAGCTGCACAGAGAAACCCTGTCTCGAAAAACCAAAAAAAAAAAAATTATCTCTCTGTCTCTTTCTGTGGGTGTGTTTGTGTGTGTGTGTATGTGTGTGTGTGTGTGTGTGTATGTGTTTGTATGTGTGTGTATGTGTGTGTTTGTGTGTGTATGTGTATGTGTGTGTATGTGTGTGTTTGTGTGTGTGTGTGTATGTGTGTGTTTGTGTGTGTGTGTGTGTGTGTGTGTGTGTGTGTGTGTGTGTTCTGCATGACCCATGGTACATGTGGAGGTTAGAGGACAACTTGCTGTGGTCAGTTCTCTCTTCCCATGATGTGGGACCAGGAGGTCAAACCTGTGTTATCAGGCCCGGTATCAGGCACCTTTATGTACTGAGTGCTCTCACTGGCCCCCAAGGCCCGGATATAAAATGGCGTGGCATTTGCCGGTAACCAGCACACATCCTCTCAACATCTTGCTTGTAATTCCTAATACAATATAGAAGCTGAATAGCTGTGATACTGTGGTATATGGGGAGTAACAACAAGGAAAATGTGTGTGTTTTATTTTTCATATTAATATCATTCTAGCCAAGGCTGGTTGAATCCATGGTGTAGAACTCGCACTTGGAGTGGTTCAGAGTGTGTGCAGCCATCAAGTCTGTCAACGTAAGTCACTTCTGGCCTCTGAGCGTGGTCTTCAGATCTGCAGTGGAGATGGCACTGGCTTCTGAGGAGTGACTGCTAAGCAGTGTTTTCTGCCATGTGTGCAGGTGGGCAGAACCAAGGACCTGGTGGCGGCTGCTCTTGTCCTCTGGTATTTGCTCCCAGGAGTTTCTATGTGGTATTCAAGAAAGAAGTGAGGCAGGCTGGCAGAGCTGTGGTGTGCCTAAGGTGTGGAGACCTGGGTTCAGCCCCTCACACTAGAGCAAAGAAGGGAAGTGTTGACAGGGTCCACAGTCCTCGAGGACAGAGGTGGGGTCTGGGCCTGTGACTGTGTGTGTTCTGAACCGCTCTGTTTCAGCAGACTGGAAAGCCAGAAATGGAGCAGCGCTGATCACCAAGCCATGCCTGGCATGGTGGTGGCTACCCCATTTGCAGCAAGTGCGGAGGGCAAGGAGCAGGCCGGGCACGCTGGCTCTTCTGGAGTCAGAGGCCTTCCAGGAGGTGGCTTTGCAGTTCTGGCTTGGGAAGTGGAGCTACCATGTTCCACTTCCT